GAGTTCACTGATTGAGAAAGACCAAGGTCGCAGATCTGTATACCGTCAACGACAATGTTTCCCTGTACAGATCACAATGTACCAATCCTTGTCCGTAAATGACAGACAACGACGTGCAATGTCTGCCAAATAATGTAATTTCATTTTCCGCGCGTAATTTGATTCTAGAGCCTTTGAACAAGCTCCCGTTATCGTCGTACTGCATAGTAATCAGGTATTCTTGCGCCCCTGGTTGTTGTGTACGCCATACACTGGAAGGAACGTTGTATACTCATCGTTGAGCATTTGGCATGATTTCTAAACTATACAAATTTTACATGACAATTAGATTGCTATTATTTGAGCCCAATGGGAGTTACTAATACCGGAAATTGCTTACCTCAGAGACGAACAAGTCCATCATCCGATCGAATTCTTAAAGCCGTTTTAGCACGACACATTTGTCCATAATAATGCATCGTGCCTTCTGCACCGTTCCATAAGCACCGGCTTTAATTTCTTCGACTTTATCAAAGTAGATATCCTTGATATCCTCATAAAGCCGCATCAATTTTTTAATACGGTGTGTATATCACCGTATAATAGTCTTGACTTGAGGCTCTTGAGCGATACCAAATATTTGGAGTCAAGATCTCGGCATAATTGTTGGGCTATTATTGAGTAAATATTACAATTATTTTAGTAATTAGAATACATATATGCGTGCAATAAACAAATTTTACCTAATGAAAATCAATCAACTGAGCATTTTGCCCGTTAACGATTTTTTTCAGCATCACCTTTACTGCGGTCGAACAACTCCGCTTTATGTGTGCTTTCGTGAGGCAATGCTTGGATTTGGATACTTGATAACTGCAAATAGTCGATCCATCGCAAGTAGTCATCATCCCATGCGCGTGCGTGTTGCCCATGATTGCCGAATATATGAATGTTACCGGTAGTCCAATCTAAAGGTGGTCTTGGTACTTTACAATCAAAGTAGAATGCATTGATATATGGATTTAGTGGACGGCAGAATTCGCTGTTGCCATTGTTGCTTTAACAAGATAATACCTGTTATGTGCCGTATTGCACACGTAATTCCGATTGTTGATTATCACATGACTAATAGAAACGTATAGTTATATATATACAAGTCAATAAACTAATTAAACAGTAGTAAACATAGCAGATTTGCGATTGTAAATTACCTTTCGTAATTTGTCTCATTCGTTATCTCGAACAAACAACTCACCTTGTCATAAATAATAGTAGGTAGACCATATAAGTATACACCATATCCATATTCTCTTCTCCTATCATCAATACAATCGAATGGAATCCACTCCACATAGGCATCATTTGCAGAGTTTGTTTGTAATTGAGATTTCTTAATAAACTCATCGAGTTGCTTATTGTTGCTCCATCCATCGGATAATTGTTTATGTCCACAAATACACCAAACCGGACTACATCGGAGTATTCCACATGCAGAGCAGAAAGTGAAAATGTAGGAACTCTCGCTTCATAACCATATAATAGATGCCGTTGAGTTCAGTAAACTTGACAATCGACCGATTGCGGGGTTTGAGCCATGGGACCATCTCCGGAACTGATGGTTTTTCGTATCGTGTTGGTATTTGTCCGTTGGAAGTGAGTATTTTCTACTGAAGTGCATATTTTATCGCTGCCAGCAGCATTTCTTCACCGTTCCATTGAACGGTTTGGCTCGATTCTATTCCTTCGAGTTCTACGCTGGATATCCATTCGGGTCCAGAAGAGTTGTCTGAGGACGGCTGAATAATGTTGTTTATTATTCGCCGTCCTGACATTTTGCTTGACTCATGTCAAGAATGGTGTATGTATTAACGAAGAAAAATTTGTGGCACACTAGAACTGGAATCTCACGTGCTTCTGCGCCACAACATGCTACGTATAGTTTGTTAATCTTTTATTAGCGTTCTTGTAAACAAAGATACTGTACATGAATAGACTTTTACCATAGGTTATGAACTGTGACAATCGATGCAAATTGCGGATGAAAAACTAACAAACTTTATAAAATGCTGTCTATATGCTGTATAAAATGATAATCATCGGATTACGTCAATTACAAAACTGTGATAAACAGTTCTTTAACAAAGTTGTATAATAATTACAACGTTTAATAATATAAATTTCTGGAGTTTTCCTCATGATAGCCACCTATTATTTTGAGTCCGTATAAGGTAAATGTATTACTATTTATCCAGCTTTGGCTACTATTATCTTGAAAGAATCTCATGTTTACTCTACTTGTATGTACTTAGCGCAAAGGAGAAATTATGCAAAAGTGATAACAGAAATAGCTTCCCTGAACCCTGAATTCAAGCGTCATATGTTTACTACATTTAATTAGGACCAGTAAACTTATCTACACGTTTCAGCTCAAGTCAAAACGAGGTTAAAACAGGTTATAAAATAATCGGACTACACGTATAACTGATACACAAAGCAAAATAATGCAGAAATGTCATTTTAGATTTTGATATTTATACGTAGCATATGTTGGCACTTTCCCAAATTGTAAATTAGAAATTTAACAGATTAGTCACTTCCACGTTGTTAAGGTTAGAAACAGAAAGCTAGAGATGATTTGGAAAAACATGCCTAAAGTGCATGAAAACCAATTCAAAACCTAACTATCTGACTTGAATAATCAGCCTTTTTTATTTCCGTTAATTTTGATTATACACCCAAAGCTCACCAAGCATCACCGAGTAGTAATGCTGAGTGTTAACAACATGTGAATACAGAACGTTATCAGTCTTAATATTAAAGGTTAATATCATATCTCTTTGAAAAACATGAGACAGACGAAGAACATAATCAATACTACTGCGCGGAAGAATATGCTAGAATTTATTATAAGATATGTACGGTATATCGCTGAACACATTTGTCTGATGACCCAAAGATAAAAGTCAAAGATATTAGCTATGATTTTGTTAAAATCGAGACTCGAATAGAAACGCCTCTGAGGTGTCAACGATTATCATAATTATCAACTGGGCACAAAACTGGCAGAGATAATATCTACCGAATGAGGTACAGTATGATCTACTGATAACACAACGATAGTGCAAACGTATTCTCAGAAGACTATGCATAATATAAAGAAGAATTGAGGGGAAATGCAAAACACAAAATATATTTTCTTGTAAATATCGGCAATAACCAGGATAAAAGTCAATGTTGCACTGTATGGGCCACGAGAAGACAAGAAAGATAGCCTCCTTTAACGCCGCAGCCACATTTATTTGCAACACACCATATGACATGGGGAATTCGGTCGGTCGTTAGTATAAATATTAATATAAATATCACAAGGCTTATTGGTTATTGAAGCAAAAAAGCAAAAAAGATGTTAATATAGATAAGGCAAGGTTTTCTCTAAATTGGGAAACTTCATAATGAGAAGTAAGTAATGATCTGGAAACTATTGATATTATCGATTGGTGAAGTTACTTACGTTGATTATAGTAGGTTACTTATAACTGTTTAGTATAAATATATTCACATGTTTGGACATATTAAATTGCTCACTCCTGTCCAATACAGATTACCAATTTTGTTTCGATAAAAAAAAAAAAAGTCTCTAACGCAAATAGAGATATTTTTGCTGTTGTATAACCAAAGGCGTAGTCAACCAATTTTGTGATCGTGTGTTTTGAGAAATTGTATTTTCATTGGATAAAATAAACGTCCGAGGCACTCGATAACCCCATCCTGCACATATTTATTTCTATTGTTTACAGTATAACAGCTTAATTGTTTCAGAACAATACCACATTTTTCTGCGGATTCCTGACGAGGCTGTGTTTATGTGGCACAAAATATGAAACAATATAAATAATACTATCGATTTACGTCCAGCTGACTACATTAATACCGTTTATGACAGAGAAGCAACCATGGACAAACGGGAGGAACATAAGAGTGTACCAATGCTTGTTAAGCCGATAATAAACTAACAAATATGCGAGCAACTCAACCTTTTTTATAAACTAGACTTTTGTCTGAAAGGGATACAAGTGTCAAATACTTGGGAGAGATTGTTTGACCAGCCAATAAAATGATATGCCCTCATTTAATCAAATTTACTGCGGGCGTGTTCTGGGGACCAGAACCCCATAACTAATATTGTGCTATTTCTCTTTCCTTGAAAATGCCTTGACCGACCGATACACAACCTGTCTGTATGCATATGCTTGGAAGAGTTATACGTTGCATTTCCCATTCCCATTAGCCCATTTTCCCCCATTGTATCGTCACATCTCACAAGATTTTTTAAGAAAGCACTGTTGTTCGTTTTTAGTAATGATTTACATACTCAGCCCCTTAACTCTAAAATTTTAATGTAAGAAATCCTGATCGAATATAGAACAAAGAATACGTATGTTATGAATGGAAAGATAGATTATCCATCTACTTTTTTTTTTTTTGTTACTAACTCTTTAAAGTTCCGTCGTCACCAAGCAGGAAATACTCAAGCCTGTGAAATCAATATTGACAAAGATGTGCTCGATAGCGGAAAAAGTAAGACTATAGTTGGAAAGTACCCCCATCGATTACGAATCTGCTGTAAAAACTGCGTATTGGTATAACATACACCGTTACACACTGGTTAGAACAAACGAACTCTACGAATAAAACCATTCCACGCTACACAAACTGTGTGTGGATGTCATACTCATGCAAAATAATATGTGCATGCTTAATTAAGAATAATGTTAAATATGTTACATAGATGTTATTGTGATGGCGCACCTAATACATGATATCCAACTTAAAAACCCTCATCTGCCACCCCCAACAAATTTTTCTCATTGCTTATGCAGTCGTCGTCGTCGCCATAATCTCAACAACAAAACAATATTCATTGTCATCATCACTATCATCACTATCATCATTATCACCACAACCAATATACCAACAATAACCAATCATCAACAAAAAACCCATCGTCATCAAGAGGCAATATGGATAGTTTTCAGGAGATAATCTTCAACCAGGACCCCACAATAGAACTGAAGCATTTGGCATGGCTGTTGGAGCCACCAACAGGAGTAATGTTAGGAATGACAGCGGAGGAGCTTTTAGCCCCCAGTAAACGAAATAAATCGAAACCGACACCTCCCCGTCCGCAGCAGTCATATATTTTGTTCAGAAAAAATTTTAAAGCGCTACATCCTCCGATGAAGTTTGAAGACGTGAGCAAACGCTCCATGAATGAGTGGAGGAACGCTTCTCCCGTAGTTAAGGAATATTTCGAAATGTTGTCCAGCGAAGCGAAAAAGCGACATGCCTTAAAGTATCCTAATTATAAATATAAGCCACGAAGAAACCTGGACGGTTTCAAAAGAGGTGAAGAAATGCAAGGAAGAAGAAGAAGAAGACAGAAACGCCCAGATGTCCCTCCTATTCCTGAAACTCCTGAAACTCCTGAAACTCCTGAAACTCCACAACACCACAGTCCACAGATACTCCATATTGACCCTATGACCACCGCCGGAATCGACTTTTACTCAGACTTTACCATCACCGACCAATTCATTCATCTTAGCGATATCTATTGTTGCACATCCACGTTCCCTACAACTGGTCAAGCCTTTGAAAGTTCGCCGGTGAGTGCCACGACTTCGGAAGAACTCGTGACTCAGGATGACGATGGGTTTTTCTCATATTTCAATTTCGAATCTTATAACGATGACGGCACAGCAAATTAACGACGACGACAATATAACCTGGATTATATTCGAAATGGATTTCCCATAACCTATCATTCGTAGTGAGATCTGGTTACCCCACAGTGGAATTTTTCAAGCAATGTCTTGAACCTGCCTGTTGTTGATATAGCAGCCATTCCTTGAAATATTCTATTATGGGATGACTGGATTTTGACTACGAATATAGGTTATGGGGTGTTTCACTTCGTAATACTCCTTTGTAAGAGGTGTTTTTTTTTTTTTAGTTTTATTTTTACATTTTTATTTTGAATATACGATAAATATTGGTATAGTTCTCATGACACAAAGTTTAAGCATGCAAATAGTTTGTATGTTGTGCTAGTTAGTGAAGCACCGGATGAATGGAATCGCAAATAAAGCGTTTTATGATTTGTTAAAACATCATGTCTGAAATTGCATAACAATATAAGTATTTGTTTCAAGTGTTTTACTCATTAGAAGAAAAAATGCCCGATCTCAAAGCACTAAAATGATTACGTTACGAAATGTCTAAACATATGTGTGCGGGGAATGATAGGCCATCTTGTGACTCTTATCGTATTTCATAATAAAAGTTCTGGCACTTTAGTTGTGCAATTATCGTCATATCTTGAGTGTTTATTTCTAAATCTTTTTATCGACAGCATATATGTCTGTGTGATTACTATTCGTATATGTGTGACATGATCCAAGATTATGTTCAACACAACGTCCGGATGTGTTATGGTAAGCTTTTCTGTAAGCCTCACTCTTAATAGCATTCAAAGAACGAACGCTATTAAATTAAAAGCTTTTACCATTAGGCAAATATAAATAATCAAGGACAAAATATGTAACAATAACTAAGATCAGTAGTAATAATAATTTGATATGTTGACGTGTCTGTGGACAATAAATCCAAGCGCAACTTCTACTAAGCTCATCTATAATACACCAGTTAGTGAATAATTAGTTGAAGACTTGTAGCGCTAAATTATAGCGATTATCAAAATACTTAATTGAGTTGAGATGCAAAATGAAATTTAGTCATGACACAATACAATATAATAGTAGGTAAAGTAATAGACACAGTCATTATATAAAGAGTAGAAATTTCATCGTTAAAAGTTGTTGCAATTACTGTTGTTGTCGATGTGTTGTTGCAATTCAAGTGTTGAGATGTACCATTTATGTTAATAGTACGTACGTGTTTAATTTTTCATAACTAATATATTTATTCATGTCTATCAACTCTCATGGAAATTTTTGATTGCTTCGTAACTTTAATATGCCAATTTTTTGCTTATTATCGTGCTGTGATATCATTAACGCTTTACCTATACTCTATATTTCTTGTCTTGTATTACTATCGCCTTATACCACAGTTTCTTTTATGCGACTACTCAACAAATTGTTTACGGATTTACTCGAAAATTATTCAGTGTTTCTCTTTTTAAATGCGTCCTGCATGTACTTGTGTCGTCCTTTTTTTAATACCCACCACAGAAAGTATTGATCTTATATTTTAACTGTGGATGGAATTGTTATGTATGTACTAACTTTAATTATATTAATTGCTTATGTTTATATCAATACGCTTTGATGAACATATTAATCATTAGTGTGCGTTGTATCCCTCCCGTTCGTTACTTCGTTTTGGCCCCTATTTGTTTGCTTAATTTGTATTGTCAGGCCTTTTTCTTCGCACCTCCACACACACATAAATTAACATCGGTTGTCTTTGGTCTTTGCTTGTTATGCGCATTTAAACGTTTTCGTGCTACTACCTCAATACACGTAGACTTTTTTTCCCTTACGCTTATATTATAAGCTTTCCTATTCGTATATTCATTATCACTTTTATCGCTCCCTCAACCACAACTTGACCTCCTTGCATCCTCTCAATATATACAATTCAAACCGGTGCAACACTTTTTTATAGTGCTGACGCTTATTGGCTACACACAATCATTGCTTCGCTTATGTCTTCTATTGCTTCACATTAGCCGACATTCATGTACAATCCTACTGACACCCTAGAAAGGCTTTACGGAGATTGTGTGTGCAATGTTTCTACGTTTTATGTTTTCATTGTTCACGTTATTATATCAACACTCTGTAAAATGGGTAGTTAAAAATGACAACTTATACAATCAGCCTTTCCACAATTACATCTTATTACAAATCTATGCAATAAATCAAATATTACCGTTTGTGATGGATGTAAATCAGATCCTAATAATCGAACATGCTACATGCTCGCTGAAATGCCTCAATGTATTATAATCTTCAATATGTAAAAAAAGTATCAATTTACATACCAATCTACAGTAACGTGCAAAAGTATCCTACCGGTTGTATCATCTAAACGTACATAATAATAACTCCTTAAATTTT